CCGGCTGAGCTCCTCTAAGGTGAACGGAAGTCCTGTCATGTCACAAGGCACTTTGGGGACAGTTGGGGGTCCCTTCCAGGTACATCTCACAAATTCATGCATGATTGCCTGTTCTTCTACTGGGGATGCAAGGTTCCCATGCATGTTTCTGATTTGCAATCTACACTTGGGCAATCTCGGAGCAAAGCGATTAATGACCTGAAACAATTGATAGCTGTCATGCTGTCGAGCAGCAAGTTGGGCTTGATCAAGAATCAAATCAAATTTTTGCTTGCGTACCAAAAAAGCATGTTTCTTGTGGGATCTCCGGAGTGCATGAAACCTTGCAATATGAAACCACGCTCTGAACACATTTCTCGGGGATGGCAATTGCAGTTTCCTGCATTGATCCCTGTGCCTCCATTTGTCCATAATGACCGATCTGGTGGCATCCACAGGGGTGTCAGCAGTCTGTCGAGGCAAGGATGGGAAGGAAGCATTGAAAACATTCCCTGCAATCTGATGCAATTCAGAAAAAAGGTTAGGATCCCATGGATCAGCCTGGGCAAGATAGGCATCAATACGCTCAGCTGAGGCCGTCATGAACTCGTGCCACTCTTGGGTTTGTGCAGCATGGGCCAGTCTGCCAGCAGCCCGTTGTTGTGCAGAGATACCTGATGTGGTGTCCGTCGCTTGTGGTGGAATCCAATGCCTTCTCAACTGTCCCACCATGGGAAAATGTCCAAAGTGATCAACCGCAAGAAAAGGGGTCTGTTGCAAGAGTTTAACATCCTTAGCCAACCCGTCCGCCAGGGGCAATCTTGTAAAGGAGAAATCAATCCGTGAGCAACCATTATATCCCCTAAAGGTGGGGCCCTGTGCATGTGACCATGAGTTCAACGCAACCAATTGATGTGCTTTCACAAGGGCCAGAAAATCACCTGAATCAGGGTGAGAGGGACCCTGTTGATGAGTCCGATGCCAGAGGAAGCCATCACATCCCACGTGGCCATGAGCCGCAGGAAGGCTGCAATTGAAATCTCCTGCCAAAAGGAGGACATTCCTCTTGGGGAGCGTGCTAAGATACCTATCTAAACATGTCCACCAGGTCTGGCGTTCATGGAGCCTGGATCTACTGGCCATGAAGGTATGCTGATAACACGCAACCAAGTCAAAGCATCTCTGGGAAAAGCGAAGCTGAGCATGAACAATCCTACCTGGTGCAACCTCTGTCCATCTGAAGGAGGTGGGTATGCAAACATGTGTCGCAATCATGAGTAGGATACCAGCTTCTGTCTGTGTCGGATGCCCAGAATGCACATGCATCCAATGAGGATCACTCCACTCGTTGGAAAATTGCCATCTGGTCTCCGGGATAATCAAAATGTCAATGCATTGACCTCGACACCAGAGTTTCAGTTCGTCCAGGCGATGTTGGCTCAGGCCACCTCCGTTCCAACACAAATAGCGCAGGTAGCGCTTATTTTGATGTCGGGCGTTGCATTTGGATTGATCAGAGACCGCAGGAGGGGGTCTCGGCTTTACATGGGCATGATCAGCAGCAGTGGCTGCAGGCACAGCAGTCGTTTTGAAGTCACCAGCCGTGTAACATTTGCCTTTGTACCAGCAGGTGCCATCGCGCTGGGCACGCTTGATGGCTCTTTTTAGGCTTCTTTTCTTCACCGCATCCATGGACGGCCGTAGGTAGCCGTAGCTGCTTGTTGGCTGAATTCCACGTGTCTTTGCACCAAACTGGTGAATGAGAGCCTCCTCCCATGTGAGAGGTGCTCCAGCGGTTTCCGTGGTTAAACCGCAACCCTCACCCCCACTCCAGACATGTGCAGGCATGTTCAAGCAAGATATCCAAACCAAAAGGCGAAATTGGAAAATCTTAAGGACTCTGGAGTGCCCGGACTTGGGACCGGGAATGCAATCAGCTTTCAGCACAGAAGCGGACTCACTAGCCTGAAAAAATCTTGATGTGATCGTTCCCCCAACAACACAGAGAGCAAAAAATGGTCTGAAACTTGAAATTGCAATTGAGCAAGTCAGGAGGAACCGCCTCACTGAGCACCAATGCGTGGAGCAAAATCCGAAAACGGCGAAAAGACAGAGAATCCAAGCACTATGGAGTGCAGCTACACTTTTTCTGGCAGCAATGGACAGGGTCGATGTTGCCCGAGAAGGCGCAAACCTGAAAAAACGATCTGAATGAAAGTCTGCACAAAGTATATGTCGATGAGTTGGATCCGGCAAAAAGCCACACGTACAAAAGGCAGCTGCAATGTAGAAAATAAAAACGGTGTAAAACAATGGGACCCCACCGCAGAAAGTCAGAAATTGAGCAGCCTGTTGTAGAAAAATCCAAATTGCGACCACTTGTAATGTCAGTCGATCGGTGTTCTCAGCAAGGACCCCACCGCAGAAGGTCTGTGTGTTGTCACCAAGCCAGGTCAAGAGCCAAAGCTGCACTGTTTGTCTGACAAATGCTGTGAGCAAAAGTGTTGTTTGCGTCGTCAACGGAACCCCACTGCAGAAGGTCAGTAAACTATCAGTGTGCTGCACTTGCTTGATAGCCGCCTGTCTGTACCAATAAGCCCCACCGCAGAAGGCCAGCAATTCGGTGTTGATTGTAAGAGCCCCACCGCAGAAGGCCAGAACTGTATCGGTGTGATGCCAAAATTGTAAATATTTGGATAAGTCAGGGAGATTTGAGCAGATTCCACTATAAGGATGTAAAAATAGAGCAGCTGGGTGTAGCAAAATCCAAATATCAACAATCAACGGGAGCAGCACACCGGTGTTTGCAGGAAAAAACCCACCGCAGAAGGTCAGTTGGCCGTCTCGAACCCAACTCTGTAGCCAGCTCTGCACCGTTTGCCTGAAAAAATCTGTAGCCAATGTTGTTTGTTGCGTCGTCAACCAAACCCCACTGCAGAAGGTCAGTAAACAGTCAGTGTGCTGCACTTGCTTGCGATCCTCTTGGCAAAGCCAACAAGCCCCACCGCAGAAGGCCAAGTTTCCGGTGTGGATTATTGAAGCCCCACCGCAGAAGGCCAGAACTGTTTCGGTGTTGAACCAATGGTATGTAAGGCCAAAGGAGCAGGAGCAAGAAGAAAAAGCCCCACCGCAGAAGGCCAGGATCTCGGTGTGAGTGCTCAAAGGCCGACTGTAAAGTGCCAAGTGAGGGTCAGGCGGATCCCTCCCGCAGAATGAAAAATGAATCAGGAAGCAAAAGTTACTGCCAAATTGTTCAATTGTCTGTGTTTTCGATTGTTCAAAGGGTGCTGCAAATCTTGTATATTTGTCTGGAGAAACTGAAGACAAGAATGTACCAGCCAACACAGGTCTGACGTGGATACCACTGCAAGTGAGGCTGTGTACGTTGTCAAAAGTCCAGAAATACAATGTATACACTGAATCAGTAAAATTAGATTTCCGCAATGTCGCAAAACCAGTTGGCCAGGTTCGACCACAAACAGCAGTGGATGGCCGTGTTGCACCGTCCGCTCTCTCGTGTGTAATTCGAAACGCGTTTGTGACCCCACCGCAGAAAGTCAAATTGAAAACGGTGTCAAACAAACCAAAATGTGGTTCAGTCCAAAAAGGGGGGAGAAGTAGTCGCCGAAATGAACAAGCAGCAGCAAGGATGAGCACAAGGTTCCACCGCCAAGTCAGAAAAGGCGCCGTAGTGCCCAGGATGGCAACCGCAATCTCAATGGCGTCCGCCCCAAAAAAGGAATGAACGATCGAGGGGGAACAATGATTCCGCTATGTGAATCCTCTTGCGCGCGGTACTCGTGACCGCATAGGGGCTTGTGTGTGTGTGTGTGTGGGTGGTGTGTGTGTGGTGTGTGTGTGGTGTGTGTGTGGTGTGTGTGTGGTGTGTGTGTGTGGTGTGTGTGTGTGGTGTGTTTGTGGTGTGTGTGTGTGGTGTGTGTGTGGTGTGTGTGTGGTGTGTGTGTGTGTGTTTTTTTCCACGCTCCTTTTCTGAGATCAGAAACTGCGCTCGCCCTTCAGATGCCGTTTCAGCACCTGGTTCTCATTTGAGAATCCGCCCCTAACTACCGCAGCTGCCAACATCTCGATGGGGAAAATGAGATGGTGCATGAACTCTACGCTATTGGCTACGGTGGGACCGGTTGGTCCAGCAGGCACAACGGGATTTGTGCGTGTCATCCTTGCGGCGTCGACTGCCATGTCGCTGGGCACGACCCACAAGGGGAGTTGGCCGCTTTGGACATATCATTGTGAAACTTAAACTAATGAATTGGAAGCAACAGAATGATTGTTTTTTTTTTGGCTTCTTTTAGTGGCCCCCTTTTTTTTTTGGGCTTCTTTTGGTGGCCCTCAGAGCTGGGGTACACATCGGGGATACCCATGGGCGTGAAAAATTGGGGGATAAACCGGCATGGGCAGCCGGGTGCATTGGGTGGGGAGGTGGCCTTGGTCTCTGGATGATGTTGTCACTATCGAAATCACCTGCTAGGTCTGGGCAAAATGCTGTGCCAAAAGGCTGCACTGGGTTGGATGTATCTGGTTCGTGGTCGCCGGCTAGGCTGAGGGTGAGAGCATACATCTGGTGAGACGATGGATTTCGCAGCCAGTTAGTGGCCTGATATGCAGTGGCAAAATGCCTCAGTGAAACCTGTGTCCATTGGGCAGTGACTGGCATGCATATGATACAAAGTGCTGCGTCTATGTGTCTTTGTCCAACACAGATATCCGGCTGAGCCCGCAGGCCAGTGCAATGTCATCGGCAGGACTGGCACTCAAGGTCTGGTTGCATGGATGTCGGCACGGATCCGCTGATCTGGCAGTCACTTTGGACTTGTTGTGAAACAGGAATTCCTAGTTGTTTTTTTTTTTGGGCTTCTTTTAGTGGCCTCTCTTTTTTTTTTTTTGGCTTCTTTTCGTGGCCCTAACTCTGGGGTACACGTCGGGGAGACCGACGGGCATGAAAACAGGAGGGATAAGCCGGTATGGGCACCGGGTGCATTGGGAGGGTGCGCAGGCGAGACTCAGGGTTCCGGGTCCGGTTGGCTGGCAAGTAGAGCCAGGATGGCCGCATCGTCAGTGGGGCGTTGTGGGGGTGATGGCCTCAAACGATGCATCTCAACTTTGTCAGAGCGACACAGCCAAATGCAGGTGATGCCACGTGCAAATGTTTCTGAAATCTCAAGACAGCGTTGAGGGGCTCGACCGTCGTCACATGACATCCACATAGCTGGTGCGGCTAGGTCGGACGTCTCAGGAAATACCCTCAGCATGCTTTGGTAATGCCCGCTGTTATCCTCACCAAAGTGCGCAATACAGGCTACAATGGTGTAGGGCATCCACTCGCAGCGGGTCACCTGAAGTACAGGCACTAATACTTCCCATGCGAATCTTACGGCAGCCTGGCACTTACACAGTGTGCCATTGGGATGCTGGACAAGGCGGTCGACATGCAACAGGAGCAGGTCGTCCGGGTCCGAGAGCCCTGCCAGCATACCAAGCTCGGTGTGCCAAGACCTGAGCAGGGCAGTGAGGTGCACTTCATGATGGTCGATCATGGTGGGGTCCAGTTGCACTGTAAGTGGCATGTATTTGTCACCAGAGTCATGCAGCAGGGTATTTTCTTCTGTCAGCACACGGCGCTCCCAGCAGTTGGAGATGGCTGTCATGGCCGTCCAGCTGGCTAACATGTGTGTGAACTCAGCACTGTCAGCCTGTTCCCCGTCCTCAATCCATCCTTGCAGTAGATGTGTAAACCATGGTTCATGCTCAAGAGAGAATGGTTCCCCGTCCCCATGTTGTAAAACATCTTGGAGAATGGCTGAACGTGCACCCCACTCCTGGATTCGAAAATCCACTCTGGACAGGCTAGCCCATATCAGGCTCTGAAAAGAGCTGGTGGCGTAGCATGTATTCCCCGTATTGGCATAGATCACTCTCAGGGCACGTTCACGAAGGTCATGCCGGGCCTCAGCAGTCAAGCGGTCCCCTTGTCCTTGTTGCCCTTCCCTCTGCCGCGGCTCTTGCCCTGAGTTGTCATGCCTTTCCCCAAGGCTCGTTGTAACAGGACGGCTTGTGGCGACATGCTCTGGTTGTGGCGTTTGACGCTCATCCCCAACAACGACCACACTGTGTTGTGGCACGTGTCCCCCAACAGATCCCACACCTCCGTTTCTCTGTGGGTCAATTGGAGCAACCATGGGATGGTGTCTTGATCTGTCCGGAGACTCTTGAACAGGACCACGTGTTGATTGCTGTCCAGGAGATCCTCCAACGTCGCCAAGGTCCGGAGCATTGTTTGCATTGACATGGGCGGTCTGGGAGCCCTGATCAGTTGTTTGGTCTCTGGCGACCACTTCTGATAGCTCCATGCCCCATCCGGCAGTACTGTGCCTTTGCTCAGCGCCACCTCCCAAAGTTGGTCGCCCTGTTTGCAGTTGGCCAGTTGTTGAACCCGACGGTGAAGTTCCTTGATGACCCCTTGCATCAGGTAGGTGCGAAGGTTGGGCCACTTCAGGTTGTCCTGCTGCTTCGGCCATTCCTCCTTCCAGTGTTGGGCCAGTCCCGCAAGGTGCGGGACAATGCCTTCCGGTCGATTTTGGCAGAACATAACGAAGCAATCCTGACGGTGGCTGAGTTGTAAGCTCCTCTCGTGATGGAGGATCAGGTTGCCCATCAGTCGCAGCAGTGTGGTGATGGCCTCTTTGTTGAGTCCTGCGGCCTCTGGCTCTTCCTTGGTCTTGGGTTTGTGTCGCTTGTGTTGGTGCTCGTCTTCGTTTCCTTCGTGATGTTTCCTGGTGCCTAAAAGGTATGGGCCCAGCGCCGCCAATCCCTCCATGAGGGCCTGATCGTTGGGGTCCATCAGGGCGTCCATTGATCGGTTGTAGCAGCGTGGCAATCTGGAGCACTACCGGGCAGCTTGAGACAAAATGACTCGTCTGCGTCTGAACACGTGGGAGCAATGCATTGGTGGGGACATCAGCCGGCAAGTTGAAGACCTGTAAACATAGATTGCATTGAAAGTCCGTCTGCTGGAATCGGTGCAGAGGCTCATACAATTGAAAAGCAAACTGAGTGGCCCACGCGCTGGTCTGAGGATGGATGGTGAGCAGATGTCGCAGCAGCTCTGGCGGTTGATAGTGTCCTCCACAAATCATACATCGTGAACGGAGTCCGGTCAGTGCAGTCTGATCTGTCCAAAGCTGGGCAAAATCCCGAGAAACCAGAATGTCAATCAACCTCTGTTGCAGGGTCACGTGATTCAGGTGTTCCATGGCCGGGGCAAGGATGGCGGCACTGAACTGTTGTGGAACCAGCAATTGAACATCTCCATTGGCCATGAGCATCGCTATTTGACGCAAGGGTGTGCAGATGTGAGCCAATCCAACCTCATGTGCCTGTGGGTTGCAAATGCAGCCCCGGGTAGCCATGACGGTCTGCAGGAGGTACCTGAGCATCTGCTGGGAGGCTGTCCAAGTATGTCCATGCGCTTGCAACAGATGAGCTACGACGTCTCCGGTTCTCATGTACTTGGTCTCACAGAATTGACACACTGTGGTCAACTGAAGCCTCTGGTGCGCTGTAAGGCCAGTTGGTGAAAAATCACCAAGGCGCAGCCAAGTGCCCCATCGTTGGGTGTTATCCACCGGGTCCAAAGATGCCGCCGGATCAAAAGCTTCGCATCTGCCCTCAGTTATGTGGCGTCGAAGGCCTGAGCGGCTGTCGAAGCTGGCTTGGCAGTGTCGGCATTTGTCAGAACCCTGCACGGAGTCCCTCGAAGGCACCCAGTCATTCAGTGTATGACCATGTGTTTGAGCCATGTGAGAGTACAGTTGTCCAGTGTCATCAAATTGCTGAACGCAGATCTCGCATGTGAGTTCAGATTGATTGCGAACATCAGGCTCCATCATTTGGAGGCGCAAAATGCCGATCTGGAGAGTCACCGGGCAACTATGTACACGAGTGTACTGCTTCTCACACAGTGGGCAAGGTGAGGTCTGTTGTATGACATGGGAGAGTTGGACTCCTTTGGCAATCCCTCCGCGCAGCTGGTCATGATGGTAGAGCCGGTAGTGGCCATGCATTTCCTGAAATCTATTGCACCAGGTGCCGCAAATGGCACAGTGATGTGTGAGGGATTCCAGTGCCGGCGCTTGTTGACTCAGCACAGTCCAGTCATCTGTCAGGATGTTGCTTTGCAAATCCGGCCAAAATGGCTGACGGGTGATCTGGAAGGTATTTTGGACTACTTCCGTGGCTGTTATCTGTCTGGGAGGTTCATCCGCAGGCTCAGTCATTGGGCTCGGCTGGACCTGACAGCAGTCCCGTTGCACATGAACAAAAAAAAAATCCATGAGGAGAAAAGGTGATGACAGTGCATGCATTGTGGCTTACCGTTCAAGGCCATACTTAGGGGTGAGATCAAGCTGACTCGGTGGTACGGTGCGTCATGCTGTGTAGTCATGTGTCTCCGCATGTTGGGAAGAGAAGTTGTGTGAAAAGAACAAAAAGGGCATTGCTGTCTGGCCTGCAGGCTGATTGGGTCGGATGCGTCCACATTCACTGGAACCTCCGGTGCATTGGCTCGAATCATGTGAATCAATTGAATGACTGCAGGCAGGTGAGACCAGGGTACTCTGTGCAAGAAATCGTCCGACTGTAGCAATGTGGTGCGCCTTTGGATGCGTTGGAGCAATCCCATGGCCAAGGCTTGCAACATATCGAGTGGATGGTCAAGTTGAAAATGTTGAAATACCTGTTGGTGCGTTCTACGTGTCAAAAAGGCGTGGTCCCCTAGGATGATCCTGATCATGCGGTAAACAACTACCTGATACTCATGGAGAACCTTCAAGGTGACATTGGATGCCAGTATGCCGTAGGTCATCACCGTGTAGACACACGTCTTCCACAAAAACAAACGTTTGGATTGGGGAATGTGCCTGTTTCTGAGCCATGGCCGCAGTCGGGAGAATGCAGTCCGTCCTGCGTGTTTGCGGTGAGTCCATGCCAAGTGCTCGTACGCATGATAGCTGAGTGTCACTCCAAGGTACGACGCTTTGTTTCTCAGCGGCAGGGTGGTCATTTGCCCATCAGCTCTGGGGATACGAATATGTGTCCCGTCAGGCGTTTTGTGTAACACTCCTTTCAGAGCAGGACGCGGATTTGTGCCAGCATATGCAATCATCATATACGACTTTGAATAAGACAAGGACAGCTTCATGCGTTCGATCACATCCAGGGCATGGCCAATGTTAACCAGGTGTTCCTTCAGTGCACTTGCTGACATGAAACGGCACCCGATATGCACATCGTCCGCATAGATTGTCAGATTGTCGTAAATCCATTGTCGCCCTGTCTTGATGGCAAGTCGGGACATGAAAAGGTCCATGTAGCATACCCATAATAAAGGGGCAATTTTGCAGCCCTGTCTCAATCCACGGCCAACAGGAATGCTTGTGGTGTCCCCTCTAAAAACAAGGTTGTAATTTGTGTTTTCATGCCAACATGCCACAAGTTGAACCAAGTTAGGGGGTGTACCTAGCGCCAACAGGTGATCAAGGATTGCAGTTCGGTCGGCACAATCGAAGGCTCGATTCAGGTCCAGAAAAAGGGACAGGCCTCCACAGATCACTGTACCATCAGGGGTAGCTATTTGATTCCGGACCGTGCGTCGATGTGCACCAACTAATTCACGGATGTTGTTGCTGTGGGCCGCAACACGCATGATTGCATCAGTGGCCGCTCGCATTGGCAGGAACCCGAACTGGGGATATCGACATAAGGAAATCAGAATGTGGGTTTTGATTTCTTTTGTGAGAAGCCCCATAACCAGTTTGCCCAACGGCTCCATTAGGGAAATTGGTCTCATTTGTTCGGGGTGCGTATTAGGCTTCCCCGGTTTGGGGAGGAAATAAATCCATGAATCCTTCCAGTTTTGTGGGATAATTGGGGGGGTTTGGTGCCACCAATGACTCAACTGCTGGAAAAGGAAATGAGCCACTTCATAAGGTGCACTGCGCCAGACTACCCCCGGCAAGAAGGGTTGGGCAACTGATTTGTTGGTGTGAAGTGCGGTCACGGCTGCAATCACATCTTCGATCGCAAATGGAACGCCCGGCGCTTCAGCCCAGTAGCGTGGCAGTTGGGCAGGTCCCTGCCACATCTTTTGAACGAAAGAAACAGTCATGGAGTGAGCCACATATTGATCAGCTATGGTTCCGTCGGGACTTCTCAGTCTAGCCCGTGCCAGCGGCTTCTTTGGAGAGTATCTGTTGATGATGTTGAACATGGAATGAGTGTCATGAACCTGGGAGGCAACAGTAACTTCTTCACAAAGAGCAATGAACTGAGCTCGTTTGGCTTGCCTGGCATCGCGCTGTTGCTTGCGTTGGAGGTGCTGATATTGTGATCGATGGAACCAAGCCTGCAAAATGCATTTCAGGGATAAAAAATGATTCGTCAAGCGTCTGAGTTGTTGTTTGTGATGCCATTTGGTTGCAATGGTTTGTGAGACCAAGGAGTGATCCACCTGTGGAAAATTGGGGTTCTTACCATCAAAAAATTTGTGAAACGCAGTCGATACTCGAGAGTGTACCTGCTGAATCAGCGCTTCTGGCGTGGTGGCCTGATGAGGTTCGTGCAAGGTCTCGATGACCTGTTGTCTCAGGCAATGCCAGGTCTGTGTCTCCTGGAGTCCAGCTTGTCTGCATTGATTCCTTTGGGCATATGTGCATGACGTGGGTTTGTCAAAACGTTGATATGACATATGTTTGGCCCTGATTGTGCAAACAATTGGGATGTGGTGTGTACTGTTGTCCGGGACAAAATCCGCAAATGGAAGGAATTGCACTTGTTTGGAATACCCATCACTTGAAAAAATGCGAGTGAGGAAATGGTCGATCCTAGAGACTGTCTGTCCATGAATGTATGTGGGTCCTGAAGCACCCCAAGTGTCCAAGGCAGTAAGGCCGTGAGTCCGCAAGATCTCTTGGAGCCGACCTTGGTCTTGATGTGTACTACCGGTGCATTGTCGTCCATTCCATTTGAAGGCGGTTGTACCAACCCATGGCGGCTGTGTTGAAAGAGCACAGTTGAAATCTCCTGCACACAGTAAATTGTTGCGAGAGGGAATCTTGTGCAACGTTTCATTGAGTGCCGTCCAGATTTTGTCTCTTTGTTGTAGAGACATTGCTGACCGTTGGTCAACATATTGGTATATGGCCAAGATGTCAAGGGCTCTCTGGTCATAGCGCAAGCGGATCTGTAATAGACGCCCATCAGCAATAGCTGCAAAGCCAAGCTGTTCAGGGTCCGCGATGCGCCTGGAGACCATGGCCAAGATGCCGCCACTGCGGTGTTCTTGTGAAGCCGTGTGCACATAGAGCCAGTTGGGATCAGCCCAATTGGAAGAGAAGCCCCAACGAGTCTCTGTAATGACTACCACGTCTGCTGGGTGGTGATGCAGCCATTGTTTCACCTCCAGGAAACCTGCTTGAGATAAGCCACCAGGGTTCCAATGTAGGCAAGAAATTCTGTCCTTGGGTCGGAGCTGTTTGGTTGGTAAGCTTCGGCGTCCGTGAGGCTGCATGTCTTGTTGGATTTTTTGCACCAATGCCGGTGGAAAATCCTGTACTTGCATGGACCGACCATGATAATGGGAGTTCCCATACGTCAAAGCTCGACGACAGGCACGCTTGTAGCTGCGCTTGTGTACAGCTGTCTGAGGTAGCAGAGGACGATTTGAGCCATTGCTCATTTGTGGCGGTTGTCCACCTTTCGCAGAGTCTTGGCAGAAGGCATAGATCCATCTGTCTGCTCCTGCTGTGACAGTGGGATCACAGCAACCCTCACCCTGACGGCCTGTCATTGTAAATCCCGGAAAATCATAGATCCTGTGATGTGCGATCCTTGTTGTCGACATCTGTTCCAAGGCCGTCCCCGGATTTGGGACCGGGTTGCAGCAGCAAGTAACCAGCAAGGCAATGATCCAGGTGATCGCAGTCAAAATTGTAGTGTGCATATCGTGTCCAGTTCCTGTTGTTGTAAGAGATTGGACGCCACAAGGGCTAAACGTTGGCCAGCAGGGGCGCACCAATCTGTCGACACAATTGCAAGGGGACAATCAGGATTGAAGTCGGGTGCCCCAACCCGAGAAGCCAAATAAAAATATCCGTTTGGAAAATCCACTGATCCAAGGCCAGGGAGTGTGTCGGGGGCCCAACCCGTGCACACCTGTCAGTCTATGGCAAACCCTCGGGGAAGAACACGGACGTGGGGCAATGGCTGCAGCGAAACACCTAGATCAGTCTTAGCTGATCTTGCTTGCGGTTCTCGCGACCGCAAAGGGCTTGTGTGTGTGTGCGTGCGTGCGTGCGTGCGTGCGTGCGTGGGGGCGCGGGGGCGGGCGGGCGGGTTCGCTGGCTTTGCGGCTTCGGGCCGCGCGGCGGGCGCGGGCTCGTCTGCGCGCTCTTTTCTCTTCTCTCTCTGCGCTTCTTCTCTCGGGGCGGCGCGCGGGGCGCAGTGGGGGTGGGGGGGCGCGTGGGGGGCGCGTGGGTGTGGGCGCGTGGGTGTGGGCGCGTGGGTGTGGGCGCGTGGGTGTGGGCGCGTGTGTGTGGGCGCGTGTGTGTGGGCGCGTGTGTGTGTGCGCGTGTGTGTGTGTGGGTGTGTGTGTGCGTTTTTTTCCTACACACCTTTTTGATATCTGCCAAAAGGTTAGTGCCAGCCTGCAACGACATGGTATCGTCGGTTCCATATGGTATGGAAACTTCAGGCCATGAAACTGCCTTGGAAAATTTCTGCTAGGAAAAGAAGTCTCCTGAGTCGCCACGTGTCTGCTGTGCCTCGTCAATCCTGGCTCCTGGTTGAGCCTGAAGCAGCCGCAGAAAGTCATTCTCCATAGGAGCTGTCGAATTGGTTGTCTCCGCATTGGTCAGGTTGGGATCTGATTCATGAGCTGATTCATGTGCTGTCTGTGGAGCACAATACATGGGAAGGCGCAAGCAGTCCGTACGGACCATCCAGATCACTACCACGTTGCTGGCATACCATATGGGGTATTGCCAAATGGCTTTGGGGAAGCAATCATCTTCAGTGATGAGCCAAGCTGCTGGTGTTGTCTGACCCAGCACAGTAGGCTGCATCTTCAAAATCGCTTTGCAATGTCCAGCCAAGTCTTGTCCAAAATGTGCCACAGCAGCAACTGGAATGTAGCCAGCATTGGAACAGAGCAAATTGGAGTTTCGGAAAATGGGCAATGTCACTTCTGATTCAATGTCTACTCTGCACAGGCCTTTGACAATGTCCCCAGCCTCAGACCGATAGTACCGGTCAATGTGTATGCAGACGCAGACCGGTGCATCCAAGAGCGCAGTGCACATCGCATTCTCCTGAACCCAGGCTGTCACCAAGGAATTCAAACTGCAAGAACCCATGTCATGGTCATGTTGTGAGAGAGTCAATGTGATGGGAGTGAATCTGCGACTGTGATCATGCACTTGAATCCCTGCAGCAGTGTCCAATCTTCTTTCCCATCGCATGTCAAATGCAGTCGATTGCAGCCAAGCCAGTGTGCGTTGCGCGCATTCAGCGCAATCTTTCTGACCCAGTTCTGCACCCCAATCTGTGACAATCTGCCGAAACCAATCTGTATGCTGCAGTGTTGCCGGTTTGTTGGCAAACGTTTGCAAAAACGAAATGAGCTCAGCAAAATGTGCCCCCCACAGGTCCGTCATTGGATCCTGGAAACTCACAAGCGCCCAAAGAAGGCTGTGAATGATGCTGTTGCCATAGCACCAATTGCGGTCATTTGTGAGCCGCAATCCACATAGGCATTGGGTCAAGGTGGCCACCAGAGCAGGGCTCAGGACACTGATTTGGTCTGGGATTTCTTGTGCACCTTCTGTTTGCCCTTCCCGTGGCCCTTGGATTGGCCCAACATACTCTGAAGAGCGGTTGCCATAGGGGTTTGATGCAGGGTATGCTGCTTCATCGTTGCACCCACTGCCATCCATATCGAATTGTGAGCGAGATGAAAGAGCAGGTCGTAGGCCCTGTCGCTCCGAAGGTTGATCTGGAGGCGCCAGGGGACGACGCGATCGCTCTTGGGGTCCGGGGCTCTCAGGGCATGGAAACGCATCACCAGCTCCCGGTCCTGCATCATCTCCACCAGCTCTTCCAAGTGCTGATCCATCTTCTTGGCACTCACTGGGGTCTTTTTGTCCAGAACCAACATCTGGGTTTTCGGATCCCAGCGGTGGTAGGGGAAGCTGCGGTCTGCAAGAATCAGGCCCTTGTCGACCGAGGTGATGTAGATCTGATCGGTCTCCTTGCTCGTCATGAGCTTGGCCAGCCTGTTCCTCATGCTGGTCAGCAAGGCTAGCATCAGGTGCTGTCTCAGCGGCATCATCTGAGTCAGGGATGAGTCCTCCATCTTCTCGGCTTTCTCCTTCCACTGGACTGTCTCGTGGAGGAGCAAGTGGAGCGCTCCTGTCGGATCTGGATTCAAAAAAAGAATGTATTGATCCATCCTTCGAAGGCCCTGAAGTTCTTGATCGTGTCTGATCAGCAGCTGAGCCATGGTTGTCAGCATTCTCATGGCGGGTGTGGGTTGATCTCCGGTTTGTGGAGGGTCTACCATCTCTGCATCGTGGCCTTTTGGCCCGTCGCGCTTGCGCGCTTTGGTCTGCCTGGGATTCTCCGGAAGGGCCAGTGTGTGGTCCACAAACAGTGATGCCAGAGCCCCGAATGCCTCCTCCATCTGAGCAGAGGCCGCCAAGTCGGGTGGTCCCATGGCGGAGGCTACTTCCATTCAGCAAGGCACCAAAGAGCTGGGCCAGCTGGATCAACACTGGACAGGATCCCTTCAGGTGAGAATGGGCCAATTGTGCTCGATCAGACAAAGATTCATCAGGCCGTAATGCAGCAGGCAAATTGTAAATGAGTCCACATAAACGGCATTGAAAATCATCCAGATTCAAAGCAAAAACTGTCGGCAAGAGTTGTTCCATGTAGAAAAGAAACATCTCATGTCTGCAGTTGTGCTCCTCTCGGAAGTGCAAGGTCAAATCAGCAGGTTGATGGCGCTCTCCACAGAGAAGACAGGTGGTGCGCAGGAATTGCAAAAGTCCTGGATCCTGCCAGGTGTCTGCAAACTTTCGGTGCACCAGAGCTTGTTCCAGCCGATACTTCATGTCATGTTGCAATGAGGCTGCAAGGATATCCTTCAATGCCTGATCCGTGATGACCGTGGGGGCAAAGGGCTCCATGTCCAGTCGATGAAATGCCATTGCAAGTTGCCTGAAAGGCAAGCAAATATGATTGGCCCGTTTGACACCTGTGCTTGGGTTGCAAAAGCACTGATATTGATAGTAAACATCGACCAAGATCATCGTGAGCCTTTGAGACTGTCTCCACAATCTGGAATGGGCAGATTGAAGGTGTAATGAGAGATCTGAAGCACGTTGACAGCCCTTGCCACATGCCTGGCAAACAATTGTCAAACGCATGCGTGCTGCAGGTGTTCTCAAAATTTCCAAGAGTTTGCCGTCCAAACAGGCCTCCTTCCACATGTTGTCCACAGGCAACGTCTCGGCCGTCGCCTGGGGATTGAAAAACTGACATCGGCCTTGCACTATGTGAGACCGCAACCCAGCCAATGTAAGAAATAATTGGCCGCAATGTGAGCATGCTGAGGATCCATCCAGTGAGTCCCTGCTTTCATTGTAGCTCAGACCCTGAAGTCCATGGTGAGCCTGCAAATGTTGGACAAGGGCTGCTGGAGTTGAAAAACACTCTAAGCACAGCTCACAGCGTTGGCGCACTTCATGTAGGGGTGCCGCATCTGGGGCATTCAAAGCAGCGCCGTTCACCAACAACACCGCAATCTGAGACCAGGTTGGGCAGCTGTGAGTTTTGAAAAGTGCACCGCAACATCCACAAGGACTTTCTGAGGAATACAAATTCGTGAGTTGGACCGCCTTCTGAGGTGCGTGCTCCCATAACTCGGGATGCTGCTGTCGGAAATGTTGATGAAGTTCTTGGCATCTGCTGAATTGGAACGAGCAGATGATGCATTTGGATGCAAGGTAGCTGCACGCCTCACGTTCCTGCTCAACCTTGTCCCACTCTCGCTCATGCACAATGTGAAGCAGGCGTGGTCCAAAAGCCTGCAAATTCAAATTGTGCAATTCATCTGCTGTGATCATACGCATGCCCCTTGCTGCCGCCATCTGCGGTTGCAACGTGCTCATGAGGTTGGACAGGCTGCCTGGTTCCCGCTGGGAATCAATGAACTCCTCAGGACCAGCTCGAAGCTCCTGGCATCCCCGGTCAATGTGGTTCTGAAACATGCGCCATGTGGAAAATCGTGTTGTGCAAAAACGACATGTAGGTAATCCATCAGTGGTAAAGGCTGATTGCTTGACAAACTGAGTCCGAAAAGTAGCATGTCCATGTGCCTTTGCGCAATGTCGTCTGAAATTGCTGACATTGTCAGTGCAAAAATCACATCTGGCACATTGGTAAAATGGTGTGGTATCACAGGCCTCTGGTCCAAATGACGTAGGCGTCTCCAAGGAAACTGTGGCCTGCAAATGGTCCAACCGAGATAGCAAATCAGGCAAATGTGTCCAAGTGATGGTATGCACCAAATCATGTGAAGGGAGTTGTGCACTTCGCTCTGTCAGGGTCCTCAAAAGTCGAGCTGCAGTACCATGCAGCAATTGCGCCGGTGACTGGAACTTGTGCAATGTCAACACATGAGCATTGGTTCTGCGTGTAATGTAAGAATGGTCATGCATCAGTTTGCGTAGCATTGTCATCATCTGTGTTGTAGCTATCTGGATGCCAACTTGTGTCAACCCCATTGCAAAAATGCCGTAGCTCAAAATAGGATAGATGCAAGTGATCCAAAGTTTGTAGCGTTGTGCAATGGTCAATCTATGTCTTCCAGTGAGCCACCGCTGCAGTCGTCGGAATCCCGTGTGCATCAAGCTCAAACGATGTTTCAAACTGGCATCTTCGAAGTTGCCATATCCAATCATCACGCCCAGGTATTTTGCAGTCTGTTTGATGGGAATGAAAATGTCTGCAGCAGCGATTGGTGTGATTTTCAAGCTCTCTCCAGCGTGATCTTTCCTCACAAATTGTCGCCTGATTGCACGACCTTGTTGGCCCCGCAGCTCCAAAATGGCAATTGATTTGCCCGTGTTGAGAGTCAGATCCATGGAGGTCAAAGTTGTCACAAAAATGCCCAGGGCTTGTTGGAAAAACCGAAACTCATCCAATGTCACAAAAGAATCCCCTATGTGGATGTCGTCAGCGTAGATTGTTATACACCTTTGTATCCAGTCAAAGGGAAGTTGTGTCATTAAATCATGTAACATCAGAACAACAAACCCATTCCATAATCCTGGCGCCGCCTTGCATCCTTGGCGTACTCCCTTGCCAACATCAACAGCCGTGTCTGCTTGATCATGTTGAACGTAGTAGCAAGTTGCTTCATGCCAGGTGCTCAGGAGATTTTGGATGGCAGGACTGATGTGCAATTCATGAAGTCTGGAAAAAAGTTTGCGACGATGAACACTGTCAAAAGCCCCTTTAAGGTCAAAGCATACCTGGCAACCCCCAAAGAGATTATATCTAATGGCATGATTTGCTCTGGTATGAGGCGTTGATCTTTGTTGGCTCAGAAGCAAACGGACAGCTGCACAGTGAAGGCTAACCCTTCTGATCGCATCCAGTGTCGATCTATGTTCAACATAAGCCAAAACTGGGAAAAGAATCAAATGATTGGAAGCCTCTCGCATGGCCAGATGAATTAGGAGCCCTATCACCGCCTTGCCTACTGGCTCTTGCAGAGCCAGCGGCCGCAAATTTTGAGGGACCACTGGAGGACGTGATGGTTTCGGAATGAGAAATAACCATCCATGTCGCCATGCGCTGGGTATACATGGGGGATTAAATGACCACCAAAAACAAAGTTTCTGATAAAGAAGGGGTGCAAGTATGGCAGAATGTTGTCTCCATACCACTCCTGGTGAGAATGGTTTTGCGACCGCTTTGGTGGTGGGTATCAATGCAAGCGCTGTTTCAAGCTGGCTCACCGTGAAAGGTACACCTGGAGCTTGCTCAAAGGTCAGATGCAAGCATTGCGGACCAGACCAAGTGTCTTCCACATACTTGTTCAACAGGGCAGCACCCTCAATAGGACTGGCCATCACCCCATCATGATTACGCAGCTGAATCTGTTTCCGTGGCTGTTTAGGAGCAAATTTGTTAATGAGTTGAAAAAGCTTGTGAGTGTCATGTTGAGCCGCAGCTCTGGCAGCACAGCTAACAACATCATCAAACTTTTGTTTTCGAATTTGTGAGGCAAACTTCTGATGGGTTCTTTTCAATCTGACAAACTGAGATGCATGATGCCAACATTTGAATATGTTACGCAGAGTCGGCAGCCCAGGCCTCTGCATCAGGCGTCGATGTTGCCATTTGTTGAGCAGTATAGGCAGGGCAGGCTTCCAGGTCGATGTGGAACTCTCCTTCTTGCCCGCTGGAAAGTGAGTCACAAAGAGCTGCAGCATGCTACTGTGTAAATCATTCATGAAAACATCTGCATCCTTCGTGGTGTCGGCAAAGTGTTCAACCAACATGTCATGGGAACGGTCACAAAACTCCATCCAGGCTGGTGATTGCGTCAGATAGGCCTGTCTGCTGGACTGGCGCTGTTGCATGGTCACCTGTTGAATCCTGTGGTGTGCATGGTCAGGTATCCAAAATTTCGCCAGGGTGCATAACATCGGGACATGGCCATGAGTGGTCTGTGATATGAAGGGTGAATCCCACAAATACCGCACTCGTCGCGCTGTCCCGTCAGCATACATTTGCCTGACACAAATGTAATCCAGCCGACTGGCCGTGTGACCATGCACATACGTTGGGCCCAGGGCAGAGGACCACGTATTCAGCGCTACCAATGCAAAATGGCGCAAAATCTGAAGCAGTCTTGGATGGTCCGCATGTGAAGTGCCTCTATGAGAGCGTCCATTCCAGAGAAAGGTTGATGTGCCTGAGATTCTTGGAGAGGCCTGTAAAGAGCTGTTGAAATCTCCTAACATCACCAGGCAGTTCCTGGTGGGAAGGCCAGCCAGGACCCGTTCCAAAAGACCCCACCATCGTTCACGTGCTTGGAGGCAACTTTGTGTAGGTTGGAAAACATGTTGGTAGCAGGCTACAATATCCAAGTTTCTGGGATGTTGTTTCAAGCGCAAGTGCACCAAGCGTCCACTGTCATGGAATTGCCATTGAATTTGCGCTGAGTTGCAAATTCGACGCGAAACAAGAATCAAAATTCCTTTGCCCCGATGTGCACCCTCACCTGAATGAACCATATTCCATTCAGAGTCAGTCCACGTTGCATCATATGTCCATCTGGTTTCCACCATGACCGCAATGTCAACCTGATTGAGAGCTAACCAAGCTTTCACCTCGTCCAGCTTAGAGATGGAGAGTCCCCCACAATTCCATTGCCAGAAGGTCATGCGCCTTTTGGGAGCATGCTGACGGTTGCATCGATGTAGGTCATGATGAATGAACTCTCGTTCTGGAGGTGCAGCAGGACCGGTGGGTAGTGAGCAACCCATGTTTTCAAGCTCTTGGACAGTGTAGTGGCTACCTCTGTACCAGGCCAGTCCCTGTTGTAGCGCTCTGCGATAAGCCCGCTGTAGGCTGCGTTTCTTCACCTTCTGAGAATTCCTTTGAGCAGCTTCATGCCGTGCTTGTGTGCCTGCGCACGCTAAAGGCTGCATGCCATGTAGCTTCGTCCCCTCACCAAGGTTGTGTGGGATCTGATGCCGGACTTCCGTGACCTCCATGGCTAGGTCACTACCCTCACCCCTCCTGGTCTGCAGCATTTGAATGTTCAGTAGAATGAAGCAGAGGCCCAAAAGAAACCAATGCCAAGCCTTGTGTCGAGACCAGGGTCTGGACTTGGGACCAGACTTGCACTCAGAAACAGATCGAAGCTGGTGCTGCTGTCCACTTGTTCCAAAAGCTGTGTCGTGAGATAATGAAATGTTTTGTAAAGACAGTCGAAGAGGATCACAAAACCACCCAAGGGCACCTTTAGCCAGCAGGAGTGTGTGATCGCAGCTGAAAAACCAAATTAAACAAATGATCCACTGTTGAAGCCGCTTGAAATAAGTACCAATGAAAAATCGTAATACCAACGTCGATGCCAAAAACAGAGAACCCACAAGGGCCAGCCAGCAAGCGGGAGCCCACCCCCTGATGTTGTACAAGGCTTGAAAAATCTCAATGGGACAATCAGCCAGGGTGCCCAACCCTTGTATGAGCTCACAGTCGAACAACAGGTCAGCCAGCGTAAACCAGGAGCCCACCCTGCAGAATGTTGTTCGACTGTCTGAAATTGGCAAATGAACTGTTTTGAGAAAATTAAACTGTATCCAATATTGGTGGCCAGTAAAAAGGTGTTGATCCGCTGTAAGCAGGCTCTCGGGCAACAGGCCAGTCAGTGAAAATACGGAGCCAAACCCGCAGTGCGTTGCCGAGAGCTGCCGCTGTAAAAACCCAGTTGCTGTTAGAATCCAGTCGTCCAACCAAGACCAATGTGACGTGTCTGAATCAAATCGCGGCTCAAAATCGTTTGTTTCTGTCGTGTGAGTCCCCTGCAGGCCAGTCAGTGTTCGGAAGCCTACTCCGCAGCGAGCAGGGGACTCAAAAAGGTCTGTTGAAGCCACTGAAAAAGAGGCGCCAGCGCCAAATTTAGACCCAAGTGGTTGGATTGATGTATGATTCCCCTGCAGGCCAGTCAGTGTCCGGAAGCCCACTCCGCAGGAAGCAGGGGAATCGAAATAAAAATCTGCTGATATCTGAGGAATTGAACTGCCAAACCCAAAACTAAGTCCAAACTGCAATGCCTTGCGATTTCCCTGCAGGCCAGTCAGTGTACGGAAGCCCACTCCGCAGAAAGCAGGGAAATCCACTGATGTTTGATCCACACAGAAAAATTGTTCAGGCAATTCCGGTGTCGTATGAAATCCCTGCAGGTCAGTCAGTGTCCGGAAGCCCACTCCGCAGAAAGCAGGGAAATCAAATGATGAGATCTGGTCCAAAGAGAAAAGTTGTGCAAGGGAAATCCAACAAGAAATCAGGATCCAGAGACCAAGCAAAAGGCCAAAGTGGGTGTGCAATCGCCAGGAGAATTCAGTCGCCGTGTTGCTGAGGCAATGAGAGGTATGGCTATGAGGCCTCTCGATTCAATCCAAACGTGGAGCCACAACTCAAAGAAAGCATTGCGGAATTGAATTGTGAAAAAGACCAAAATGGCAGCGGCAGCAAAGAAATGACGGATCAATGGCTCAAATGAAGACACAGCGCAGGAACGTCACGTGGGGGCCTAGAGCTCCTCGCTCTTCGAGGCACCGCTTCTGGATGCAAAGGGGCTTGTGTGTGTGTGTACACTGCTATTCACATGCAGAAAACTACAACTGGACATTTGATGACTATGCACGTTATGTTTTCCGAATTCATGCGCCAAAGACTATGCACGTTATGTTTTCCGAATTCATGCGCCAAAGACTACTTAACAGCAGGGGGCTGCAGGGAATGTCATAGTTCTGCAGCCAACGAAGACGGCTATGACATTCTGTGATATCGATCCGGGACGCTGGATCGACGTACCTGCCTAATCATGTCTTTCCATTTCCGCGATGGGATGTGGCTAACCCAAGAACCACCTTGCCGATTAATGATTTGGACCTGGTTTCACCTGTTTATCAAGGATGATGGACTCAGGATTCTACCAGGCATGTACAACCACATCGTCATTGCAGTTCACTTCCAAAAATCAACAGTGTGCATTAGTCATGTGTCCTATACAGACCATGACCTCATCATCCCTAATGGGGAAGAACAATCTTGGCATAGTGTGCCGAATCCGCCCTCTACGGAGGCAGAAGTTGAGCGAGTAGCCATAGGGGCTGCTAGAAGTGATGGCAATAGCCGAAGGGGGGTCAAGGACAATTGAAGGGTGGCATAAGCCGAAGGAGTGCCCAACGGGCGAATGGTGCCCATAGGGCGAAGGTGGCCATGTGCCGAAGGATTTTATTGGCCGGGAACCCTACTTCTTACTGTCATTTTATGAGTTTTCACCTTCTCTTTCAAATCAATTTACAATTGTGAGGACAAGAGATCAATTTGAAGAGAT